CAGTGAGGTCATATGATACATGTCTTTCTCTGATTGACTTATTTTGCTCAGCATAATACCCTCCAGTTCCATCCACGTCGTTGCAAATGGCAAGATTTCATTCCTTTTGATGGCTGCATAAAATTCCATTGTATATATACCACATCTTCTTTATCCATTCATCATCCTGAAAATTCTATGCTGGAATCCTTTTAATGGACTTACTTCTTTTGTCAACATATATGTGTATAGTAGTAGAGGGGGAAGCTAGTAGGCCAACACTTGACAAGTCAAATATCTTTAAAGTGATGGGTGGTGGATGAAAATATAAATGGATGTTTTTAATTTCCCCTAACGGGTAAGATGACTTCTTACTCGTAAAAGCTGTGGGAGAAATCACAACAGGAAAGACCTATATAGCACGATATTGCTAAATGTTGTATTTCTATTAAGTATAAATAAGATAAGCCAGACTAAAAGTTAAAAACAAAAGAAACAAATAAAAAAACAAGTGTTTTTGAAAAACAGGCAAATATCCTTTATATATAAGGACCTCATTAAGAGGAACTTTTACAAATCAACAAGGAAAATCAGGAAGCTCTTGGTAGATGGGTAACAGACCATTTTCACAAACAAAACACAAAGAGGTGGCATACTTGGGGGGAAAATCTTCTACTTCACTAGCAATCAAAGAAATACAAATTAAGTCAACAGTGAAAAACTACTGCTTCTCTCCAAAGCAGGCAAATATCTTCTTTAATGAAATCTCCCCACAGTGAAAAGTGGACATGCAAAGAGAATTTTTATATACTGCTGGTCAGGGGCAAACAGCACAAGGCTTTGGGGAAGCAATTTAGCAGGCACACAGCTCAAGCTTCTTAATGTTCATACCCTTTGATCTGGTGATTCCATTCCTGGAAATCTGACCCAAGGACATTCTCAAATAGAGAAAATGTTTTTTATGCAAAAAAAAAAGCTGCCGTTTCTTGCAGCACCATTCACAATGGTAAATGACTAGAAACAATCTAAATATTACTGATGGGGGTGCTGGATAAAATAACTCCGGTTTATACACATGGCAAATTATGTAGAATGAAAGTGATTTTTTTTCTATTTTTAATGATTACACACATAATACAGAAACACATTCTCATTATTTGAAAAAAATTCAAATGATAGAAAGCAGTTTAAATGGCAAAGACCTGCCCTTCCCCATCCCTGCTTTTACCCACTTTTCTTTCCTATCCCCGTACTCATCCCTTTCCCAGTAGCAGCCTCTCTTAGGAGTGCCAGGACATTTATTTACATGTATATGTACACATATATACATTTGTTTTCTTCTACAAAAATGGGATCATGCCATCTGCATTACTGTGTAAGTCACTTAAATATTTCTAGGCAATCTTTCCATGTCAGTACACATGGATCTACCTCATCCATTTTAAGCTGCTGTACAGAATTCCACAAGATGAACATAATTTATCTAACCATTCCCCGTCTGATGTATGTTAAGGTTTATAATTTTTCACCCTCATAAATAATGCTTCTCTAACAAATGCTCAATACATATAAACAAGTATTTACAGAGTTTATAAAAACATGGGAAGATCTTTACATCATAATGGAAACCTAGTTCCATATACAGTACGATTTTAACTACATAAAAATATACATAGCAGAAAAGGATAGGAAACAAACAGTCCAAAATGTCCAAATGTCCAAAACAAAAAGTCCAACCAGTAGTTGTTTCTGGGTAGTGGGATTATGGATTTTTTTGTCTGAGTTTCTATATTTTTCTGTATTTTCCAAATTCTCTCTAAAGAACAAGTATTTCTTTACAATTGGAGAAGAGTAAAATTAATCTCTAGATAATAGGAATAATCATTATTCTATTATTTACATGGTGCTAGATGGCATAGTGGGAGGCTATTAACAGAAATACAGCAAATATTAGTTTACCTAGAAAGCAGCTGTCAGTAGTGGACAATGGGTGAAGTTACCGAAGTAGCAAGAGCACTAAAACCACCCAGTCAGCCTCTGTCAGTAGAGGATAATCAGTTCCCTGGTGTGGAAGGATGGTGGTTACAACTAAAAATGGCGTATTAGTAGATAGGCTAGATCAGCTAGCAAACCCCAGAGAATTGACAACATAGGTCCAATACAAAAACTTGCTCATAAATGCTCACAGCAGCACTACCTGTAGTAGCTAAAAAGTGGAAACAACCCAAGTGTCCATCAACTGATGGATAAACAAAATGTGGTATATCCATGCAATGCAATACTTTTCAGTATAAGGAATAAAAGATGAACCTTGAAAACATTATGTTAAGTAAACAAAGGTCATGAAAGGCTAACATTTTATGTTTCCATTTACATGAAATGTCTAGAACAGGTAAATTCATAAAGACGAAAAGTAAATTAGTGGTTGCCTATGGCTGGGAAGGTTTTGAAGAAATGGGAAGCCAGTGCTAATGACTAAGGGATTTCTTTTTAAGATGATGAAATGTTCTAGAATTAACTAGTGGTGATGGTTGCACAACTATGTAAATATACTAAAAACCACTGAACTGCACACGTGAAAAGGGTGAATTTGTGGTATGTGAATTATGTCAATAAAGCTGTTATAAAAAATAGCTAGTAGCAATGAATTTAGTTTGTAGACATGGTAAGTTAGTTGATAACAAGATAAATTTTGCTTATAAATCATTTGCCATACACAAAAGGCTATAGAAAGTTATTTTCAGTGAACAGTTAGCCAGATATAAACTTTCTTTCCTTCCTGTCCTAGTAACATCAAAAGAGAAACAACCAAGCAACATATAAATAATTTCATTATAAGTTAATAAAAATTAAAAAAGAGAAATAGCAAAACTTAACCAAGACACTGTGGTCTAACTGGGCACAAATGTATTCTTTCTGGAGAGGAGAAAGGACAGATTAAAAATTAAGGTTATGGGAGAAATTCTGAATCAAGAAAATATTTAACTAGAGATGCTCCTGGGTGTTGTAAATACAACTTATACAAATTTGCCCTCATGCAAACAGCGGCACACACAAGGCACGTAATCAAATTGGGCGAGGTGGGAAACTGCGTGGAGATACCACAAGGCAGGTTGGGGAATGCCAAGAATTAAAAACATCAAGTGTCCTGTGGCCCCCAGAAGCTGAAGGCCTCAAGTTACTAGGCAGGTTGTCCCTCCCTCAGCGTTTCTCTGGAGTTATCTATGTTACTGCCCTTCTCATTCCCTTTTATTGAGTTCTGCTGATGACTAGCAGGAGCTCAAGCAATAGCCAGAATACAGAATTATTATGCACAGAAACACTGACTTAGAGCACAATTCTGAAGCATCAGAGAAATCTGGCCGAATCCTGTCTTTCACTGCCCTTGTACTTGAGCTGACTGCTTCCACAATGAAAACATTTAGAATGAGGGCACGGGCAAAAAGAAGGAGGAGGAGGAGGAGGAGGAGAAGGAACAGAAGCAGCATTGCTGAAAAGTCTGGCACATTCAAATCCACAAAGATAAAAACGAAGGTGGGCTCAAAGTGCTATTCTGATATGGTGAAATCAATCACACACGTTATAAAAAGAATAAAGCTAAAAAGATGAGTACCACTGAGGTTGATTCAGTAAAGTCTCGAAAGTTGGTTTGAAAACAGAAAGTGTGGTTACAGAATGGCCTCCCCGTCATTTTAAAACTCACGAAAATGTTCAGAACAGGAAAGGAAGCAGGGAAGCTGCTGGTTTGATCATGAAAACAGCAGTCGTGCACCTCAAAGAATTGTGAACCTATTACAGAAAAATGTGGTTATGGAACAAGCACAGTTAACCTTTAATTTGGATGAAGCTATTTTTTAAGCAAAAATTTTAAAGTCAGGGCATTTACTTCAAAAGAAGAAACTGTCAGGGTTTAAGGCTGTAAAAGGTAAAATGAGCCTTTTGCTTGAGAATAACATGGCAGAAGATTATGTATCTCAACTTGCTTATCCCTCCGAAAGACCACATATATTTAATACACTTTCAGCTCTCACAGAATCCTGATTATACAAAACCATGCAAAAGAGTTGCACAAGTCAGGGAACATTCTCTATCAAAATTATTCTGACAAATTTCTATCTCACTAGAATCTCCTAGAGTCAATATACTGGTATTTAGATGATTGGATCAAATAATTCAAGCTAAATGGGTATGTTTCAGATTCTGATATTACTTACATTTTATTTATAATTCATGCTAATGATGGGACAAAACCACATTCAAATCTGCTAGAACAATGCTGAATACTCACTCACTCAGAGGTCCTTAAATACCATCAGTGAAAGCTACCTAAACCTGGGCTAGTTAACAGGTTATTTCTAGGACTCAGCTACTGAAGATAAAGTGGAAATGTGTCATTCAGTGATGTGCCAGAGCTGACCAATCACCAATCACATCTCTTCTCAGCCCTGAGCTTAGAGACACAGCATTGGTAGGTCAAAATCAGCCTTTGGTGGGAGTATTTACATCACTGAAATCAGAAAATGGTATAAATCAGAGATTCTTTTTTTTTTTTTTTTAATCAGAGATTCTTTTTCTTCTTTCTGAGAGTCATTTCTTATAGATGATTATTCATCATCTATAATCAGAAAATGGTATAAATCAGAGCTTCTTTTTCTTCTTTCTGAGAGTCATTTCTTATAGATGATTATTCATCATCTATAAATACTGCAACTGTACAATTCTAACATTTGAGAGAGAAAAAGAGAGAGAGCACGAGCAGGGGGAGGGGCAGAGGGAGAAGCAGACTCCCTGCTGAGAAGGGAGCCTAACGTGGGGCTCCATCCCAGCACCCTGGGATCATGAGCCCAGCTGAAGGCAGACACTCAACCAACTGAGTCACCCGGTGCCCCCTGGGAAAGGCTTTGAATAAAGGGGCCTGGCCTTTGCCATTTTTCCCCTCTGTTCTCCTTTCTGCAACCTGGAGCTTGAATGTGATGGCTGCAGTTCCAGCAGCTGTTTTGTGATTTTAAGGATGAAAGACTTGTACTAAAGATGACAGAACAGATGGAAAGAAAGATCCTCAGTCCCTAGTAACTATAAAAAAGCCGTCAAAATAACCCTGAACTGCACTACCTCTGGCTCTTTTGTGTAAAAGAATAAAGCCTTATAAAATAAGTTTACAGTAGGTAGGTCCCTTTTACCAACAGCCAAATAAAATCCCTAATGAATATAAATCTTAACTTCATTGGCAGAAAGTACAGAAGCCATGCATAGCTTCTTAAGGAATGCGGTACCTCAGGGAAAGGAAGAAATTCATCACATGCCTTTCTCCTTCCTTGCCAGATTTTCTTTTCTTTTTTTTTCTGGAAATGACATGATTTTATATATTGAAAAAAAAAAAACCTAAAGAATATACAATAAATATTAGAGCAGGATACAAAATCAATATGTGAAAATTAGTTGCATGTCCATACCCTATCAATGGAAAATCTGAAAAAAAAAATTAAGAAATCACTTCCATATAAAATAACATCAAAAAATAAAATATCTAGGACTAGATACAATAAAAATGCAAGATTTTTTACATTGAAACTACAGTTTCAAAATTAATTAGAGAAGATAAAAATAAATGGAATTAAAAAAACACAGTATGGTAGTGGCACAAAATCAGACACATAGATCAGTGGAACAGAATAGAGAACTCAGACATAAATATATTTATACCAGGAATATAAACTGGTATAGCCACAATGGAAAACATTATGGAGATTTGTCAGAAAATTAAAAACAGAACTACCCATATGAACCTGCAACTCCACTTCTGGATATATTATCTGAAAGAAATGAAATCATTATCTCAAATGAGATATCTGCACACTCATGTTTATTGAATCATTATGCACACTAGCCAAGATATGGAAACAACCTAAATGTCCTATGATGGGTGATGGATAAAGAAAATTTGCTATGTATGGTTTTTTTCACTATTTTTTTTTCATTTAAATTCAATTAATTAACATATAATATATTAGTTTCAGAGGTAGAGTTGAGTGATTCATCAGTCTTATAAAACACCCAGTGCTCATTACATCACATGCCCTCCTTAATGTCCATCACCCAGTTACCCCATCCCCCACTCCCCTCCCCTCCAGCAACCCTCAGTCTGTTTCCTATGATTAAGAGTCTCTTGTGGTTTGTCTCCCTCTCTGATTTCATGTTGTTTTATTTTTCCCTCCTTTCACCTATGATCCTATGTTTTGTTTCTTAAATTCCACGTATGAGTGAGAAATCAAATGATAACTGTCTTTCTCTGATTGGGTTATTTCACTTAGCATAATACCCTCTAGTTCCATCCACGTCGTTGCAAATGGCAAGGTTTCATTTTTTTGATGGCTGAGTAATATTCCTGTGTGTGTGTGTGTGTGTGTGTGTGTGTGTGTATACCACATTTTCTTTATCCATTCATCTGTCGATGGACATCTGGGCTCTTTCCCTAGTTTGGCTATTGTTTCCTTGCCACATTTTCAAGAATAATTTTATAGCAGGTGAGTGGAGGGCAAGCACCCACAAGTTAAAATTAGATGACTAGTAGCTGAACTTATCAAAGACCGGCAGAAAGAAGAAGTCTGGGAAAGCAGAGGGTGTCAGAGTGACCAGGCTAGTGACCCTGTATTGCTTCTTCCACTGTATCTGACCAGGAGAGGGGCCCCTCTTTGTACCTCTTCAAGGTTGCAGAATTCCTGACGCAGGGCAAGCTTCAGATCAGCGCATTCTCTCCCGCATCTCAATGCTACCAGACACTCCTTGGTCAAATGTGGGACCTAATCAGAGAACACAGGTTCTTAGTGGAGAAGTCTGAGGAAACTCTGTGCTCTGCTCTGCCTAAAAATGCAGCCAGAGCTTTATCACTCCAACTTAACAGGCCAACACCCACATCCAGGCTCCCCACCTCCTCAGAGGGTCATCCCTGTGGCTCCAGAAATCCACTGTCACGACACCATGGTAAAACAGGGTGCTTTAAAAGCGGTTCTCCAGTGCTCCTTACTTGCTCAGCTACTCCATGCTGTACAATCTGAGGCGGGGCACTTAACCTCCCTAAGCCTCAGTGCTGTCATCTGAAAAATGGATACAATAACAGTACCCACCCTGAAGGGCACTTGTGAGCATTAAATGAGTTAACTTGTATAAAGCAGGTAGGATAGCACTTGGTACAGCATAAATGCTCAAGCTATGTCAGCCATTGAGGCCCCTGAGTTCCTTTATCTCTTTTCAAAGAGAACTATCATTGGGGTGCCTGGGTGGCTCAGCCATTAAGCATCTGCCTTCGGCTCAGGTCATAATCCCAGGGTCCTGGGATCGAGCCCCGCATTGGGCTTCCTGCTCAGCGGGGAGTCTGCTTCTCCCTCTCCCACTCCCCCTGCTTGTGTTCCCTCTCTCGCTGTGTCTCTCTCTGTCAGATAAATAAATAAAATCTTAAAAAAAAAAAAAAGAGGACTATCATAAAATTTCCCCATCATTTTTTCTTGGATTATCAACAGGTACCCCCTTTTCTCTCTTCCTCACATTTCCTGGACAGTTGGCACTGTTGCTCCGCATAAAGGGCAGTTCCCTTTCATGCATTACCTTTTTCACACCCCAACATTTTTTTACCTGAAACTTTAGAAATATTCCCTTTAACACACTACCAGTTTTCAGCTCTTTCAACGTTCCTACTACCTGTCACACCATCATAACCATGCCATATCCATACCTCTTGAGACTGCTAGTTGAAATAGAAAAAAGCCTATCAGTTAAGCCTTTAATCTTTAATATTAGAGGTGACAGCCCTACTATTATTCCATACTAGTTACCCTCCTAAGATGCAGGTAGTATTAAAACAAAACAATTAGATCAGTGATTTAGCTTTAAAAATGAACTGACATTTGGGAAACCCATAGTAAATAAAATGGACTGTATGTATGTGACTTTTTTAAAAAACTGGATATACCTTATAGAATAACTCCAATAACATCTTTTGGCGAGCCCGCTCATAAGGGTCATATGGATACAGCTTTCTCCCAGGATAAGCATCATCCAGGTATTCACAAGCGATGACAGATTCGTAGATCAACTGACATTTGCTGTTCTCCAGGACAGGAATTTGGCCAAAAGGGTGTTTTGTATAGTACCACTCAGGCTTGTTTCTCAGGTTAATGTTGATAACTTCATGTCTTAAAAAGCAAAGGGAAAAACAAGACAGAACAAGAATGAGAGGCTTATACAGGCAGACACTCACCCCGAAAGCAGAAGCAATCAATTTATAAAATTTAAGTTTGCAATAAGTTTTCCGAAGTTTAAGTTTCTCCAGAGAAAAATACATAGCAACATCTTTGTCTCATTCACATAGTTAAGATGTGCTAAATGTTTTCTCTGCCTTGTCTCACGTGCTCCTTGTGACTCCTGGCTCCAGGAGTTTGAACTTCCTGCCCATTATCACTTCGAGGAGACAGCAGAGCCACGCTGAGAGCCAGGCAGTCTGACTCAGAGCGCACACACTCAACCACAGCATTACAGGGTCTCCTGCATTTTAGACCTTGCAAATACACATCTGACATTAATAGGTCACAACAGAATATGGCAAACGTCAGCAGTTACGACCTCGAATTCTGGCATCAGAGTGCCTGGGGTCTGGACAGTCTAGCTTGTGATGTTGGCCAAATTCCTTAACTTCTCTGTGCTCAGTGTCCTTAATTGTAAAATGGGATAATAATTGTACCCATCTCTTGGCATTGTTGTGAGGATTGAATAAATGAGTATGTCTAAAGTGCTTAGGACAGTGCTAGGTACATAAGCATCAATAACCTCTTATTCTTCTCATTATTAATTATTATTAGAGGCTCAAGCCTATAAAGTTACCAGAAGTGCTCACCTATGTTTAAAACATTAAAGGAAACAAATGAGTATGTTCTTTGCTCAGTCGAGGAGATGGTCTTAAATCCTAAAGCAGTGGTTTTCAACAGGGTGTGATCTGGCCCCATCTGCAGGGACACAAGTCAATGTCTGGAGACATTTTTTGGTCGTCATAGCTAATGGATAGAGGGCAGGGATGCTGCTAAATGTCCAACAATGCACAGGGCAGCACCCCACCCCAATCCAAACACACATATACACACAACCAAGAACTACCTGGCCCAAAATGTCAACAGTGCCAAGGCTGAGAAACCCTGCCCTAAAGAAATATTTACATTGGTTCCTAAGCTACCAGTTTGTCACTAAGGGTAAAACATCAAGCTACTGTTATTTTAAAATAGGTAACCTTAGGGCCAAGGAGATTTGAGCAATAAGGAAGAATCTGGAAATACATTCCATATACACTCAACAAAGCAGAATTACATAGTTCTGTTTAAAATGTCTCTATATTAGTATTTCTCTGACATGAATCTGACACTCTGAAGTCATCCCTTAAAGGATGGACTCTCCAAGAGTCAAAAGCCTCACTTTGGCTTTGAGGCCAGCTGCACCCCCCCTCCCCCCACCACCACCAGTCTCTATTCCAGCAAAGTGGCTCTGCCTCCCATATCCAGACCTCCTCTGCAGGTGCTGGTTTCACAAAATTCCTTCTGGAAGAAAATGTACCTATTTCTCAAGGATGTCAGAACCTTCAAGACGCCTCTTGACCGAAGTTCTTTTCTATGTCATTGTTTGGAACTATCTGTTCATTCATTCATTCAAAAAATACGTTTAAACACCTACCTTGCACCAGGCTCTCTTCTAGCTCATGAATAAAAGAGACAAAAGCCCTACCCTCAAGAACTTACATTTAGCCTTGGGGGCGGGGGCGCGGTGGAAGTGGGGCTGGGTAGCGTGGAGGAAAGAGGGAGAAACAAAAATGTGGGAGGCGGGAAGCACCGTGAAGAAAGTGAGTGCAAGTGCACTGAAGGGGCGGGGGGCGGAGGCCCGCAGGCTGCAGCAGTCCGAGAAGGCCTGGGGAGCCTCCGCCGTGCCCTGCCTTCGGCAGCGAGGTGGCACGCAGCCTTCTCGCCGGAGGCACCGTTAGGTTTGCACTGAGTTGTCCTCAAAGTTTCACGCACAGACACGGCTCCGAAGAAAGCTCGGCAGTTCAGGACCGCCCGCTACAGAGCCCGCCCTTGGCTAACCCTTTACTGACTTTGCCTCAGAAGCAAGGGACACAAGGAGCCCCTCTGAAGTCTGAGCAGGGCGCCCCGGATTTTGCACACCCCGCGCGCCTGTGCGGCTCTGGCCTCCGGCTTCTCACCTGATGCCTTTGGCCCGGAGGACAAGGCGCGTCCTGTGCGCGTAGGGGCAGAACCTCATGCTGTAGACGCGGATCAGGCCCTCTGGGACCGGCCCCGGGGGCAGGCTTCCTGTGGGGGGACAGGAGGAGGCAGGGGCCCGTAAGCCCACCGGGAGAGGGGCTCACTCGCCTCCCCGGGACCCCAGGAGAACTGCGCGCGCACCACCTCCCGCGTCCGAGAAGACCCATTTGTATGTGGCTTTTGTGCAGAGGCTCCCTTCAAATCCCTCCCCGCCGCGCTGGTCTGGGGGCCAAGGCCGAGCAGCCCCCTCTCCAGAGCCAACTTTCCCAGCCACGCGGCGCCCCCAGTCCGGGGACCGCTGTCGAGGGGGCTCACCTTTCCCCAAGGCCCTAGTCGCATCCTCCATGATCTCCGAGCGTCTGCGAAGCTTGGAACGCTCGCCGCAGCCGCAGGCTCCGAGGACAGCCGCGCTCCAGCGCGCCCCTCCTGCCCCAAATTCAATTTTTGAGCGACTGAGCTCAGGGGTGGGGGCGGGGGCCTGTAGGGTGGCGAAGGAGGCAGAGGGGAAGTGATCTGGGACGGGAGCCAGGATACCTTAGGCAAGAGAGCACATCTCTCGACTTGGAAGCCTAAGAGTTGGGAGTGGGCAAGAAACCCCTGAAAAGTAACCCCTTGCCTTGAACACGTGGGTAGCGCATTCAGTGGGGTCTCTCCTCCACATCAAAAAATCCCTGAAGAATGGGCATTTGAACTCCAGCATGTCCTTCAAAGGAGTTTAATAAAACCTGATCAGGGTAATGATATGTTTTCTTTCGCGCCCTAAGCCCTTCTTCCTGCATCTCCCTATGGGGACACAACCTCCCTATAATGAGTAAGATTTGTTTTATATAAAGCCAAATTTCCTCAGCATATAGCAGATAAGGAAGAAAAATTTGTTAGTGTTGAGATCTTGCATACCCCTGAGAGTGAGTACCTCCTTAAACTTTGTGCCCTAGACCCCACACTTGCTTCACCTTAGTTCTGGCCCTATTTGTGAGATTTTGCCCCAGCTACGGAAAACAGGCGATTAATAGAAACATGATTTACCTAGAGGCAGAAACAAATTCAGCCCCAGCATACATTTCAGAGAAAACTCTTTCTGATTGCTATGGAAAACATGGCCAACAGCCCAGCAATGTGGGGCCACTGGGATGGCTCTTCCATCTATCTTAGATAAAAGAGGTAGCTGGCCTTTGCTCAGACCCTCATAGGCTGAGATCCTGAAATTCAGCAGGTGGTAAAATAACTCTAATTTTACACGACTTAGTTGAAATGGGAATTGTTTGTCGATGGATTGTATAAGACTGACAGGTAAAGAAGGAAAGAAAATTATGATATGTCCCACTTACACTAAAGGATTTCCATCGACTACCTTATTTGATTCCCATGACTACTCAGTCAGGCAGCTAGTATTATTCCTAATTTACACAACAGAAAACAGCCTCAGAAAAATGAAATTATTTGCCCAAAGTGACCAGCTAATGGGGTCAAAGAACTTTAAGAGTCTAAAGCCTGACTTATTGTCTTGACCTCTAAAGGCGGTTAACACTATGAAGAGGAAAGAATATAAGTCCTGGAAAAGATACAGCACATAATAGCTGCTCATACGTTAGCTGAATCTAAATAGCTTTGTTAAAATGACAGAACCTAATTATGTAACTTATGAATGGGTAACTGCTGGCCTTTGGAATCCCAATCTATTCAGAAATTCTTGGTTAATAGGTTAACTTTTTTTTCTACTGAATAAGAATCTTTTAAAATCTTCAGAATAGTGACTCAGTTACATTTTTTGCAAAGTCAGAGTGATTTCATGTGATTTTGAGTAGTTGTCACTTTATGAGAATTGGAGAATGGCAAAAATGTTTGCATAAATGTTCTCTGAAAATAAAATGCATATATGTCAGCAAGACATCTGGTATTGGAAAAGATAAATTGACGTGCTAGCTAACAATTTTGTGCTTTGGGAGACAGATAAAGTAATAGGATGACTACTGTTCTGGAGCTAATTTGATCAAGAAGAACAAATTGGGTGGTAAAATGAAAGCAACAAACATAACCATGTCATGGGGGATTTTCTGGTAGACAAGCAGATGACTCCCAGGCAGACAAATGTATCCCCACATAAAGAAAGCAGATTTCAAAGAGCTGAGAGAAAATATATCCAGATTCTAAAGGGGAGGGCCATAAGAGGAATGTGAAATTGTTAAAATCAAAATAAATGATTATTTACACGTATTTGGTGCTTTATGTATATTCACTCATTTAATCCTTAAAATAGTCCTATTAGAATTCTATAATTTCATTTTAAAAGATGACTAAGCTGACGCTGGCAAGGTCAAGTCACCCATCAAAAACCTCACAACTAACAAGAGATAGAGGGAGGATTACGAAGCCTGGAAGTTCAACCCCTGGGGCAGGACTCCAACCAGAATCTTATCTATACCAGAGATGGGCAAACTTTTCTGTAAAAGTTGAGATAGTAAATACTTGAGGCTTCCAGCCATCTCAACGACTCACCTCTACATTTTAGAGTGAAAACAGCCATAGATAATATATAAATGAACGGGAGTAGCTGTGTTCCAATAAAACATTATTTATGGATGCTGAATTTCAATTTTATATTTTTAAAAGACTTTTTTTTAGAGTAGTTTTAGGTTCACCACAAAACTGAGAATATATGGAGATTTCCCATATACTCACTACCCCTACACAAACACAGCTTCCTCCACCATCAACATCCCCCATCAGAGAGATACATTTTTACAATCAACAAGCCTGCACTGATACATTATTGCTCAAAGTCCACAATTTTCACTAGGGCTCACTCTTGGTGAATTTCATATAATTTTCCTGTGGCACAAATTATGGTTCTTCTCTTGATTTTAAAAAACCATTTAAAAATGTAAAAACCATTCTTCGCTCTTGGGCTGTACAAAACCCAGCAGTGGACCGGATTTGGCCTACTAGCCTTAGTTTGCCCATCCCTGCTCTATATTGACGATGATAGAATTAGCAATGGACAAACTGGGAATTCCACTTATAAAGTGGAAGGTTACTGGATCACCTTTTTACTATGCCAGAAAAGAATGTATTTCCAACTTTCTTCTCCTCATTGCCACCTTTTAAGGGAAACCAACTCTAAGATTTGGAAGATACTATTTATTAAAAGTGTATCTGTGTAGGGGAAGTCACGTTCTAAAATGGGAGTGTATTTGGTGTAGTTACAAAAGAATAGACAGAACAATGGAAACATTTCTTCCTCTGAAAGAAAGCAATATAGTGCCAAGATTCTCACTTGGCACTATATTTAAACCCTGGCTTTGGCACTTAGGCAAGCTCTCTAACCTCTTGGACCTTCATCTTTCTCATCTCTAAAAAGAGAACACGAATAGTACCTACTTGATAGGTTTTGAATATTGAATGAAATCGTGCACATCAGCAGTACAGTAAGAGCTCAGTGTACTTGGAAAATTAATGACTAATATTAGTGAATAAGAACACATTTAATAGCATAGTGCACCCCAATTTTGTATCTATAAAGATGAAATGCACTGCAATTCTGCTTTGCCAAGCACATTAGAATTGAAATTCAACTCAGAATACTTATTTCACCAGTTACCAATTTAATACCAGTTGAATGGGTTGAATGCTGCAGGCTACATTTCAGTAATGTGGTTTTTAATCTTACCACTGAATGCTATGGTTTCCCTGGAAAGATTTTAATTACAACCTTTAAACTTATCCCTACTTCCTTTTTAAGAACCAATGTGTACCTTTTTGAAATCCTATAAGCAAACTCTCTTTCTTATGTTATTATATCATGTTTATATCTCTTATACTGATTCACTCAAGCAAAAAGAAAAAAAAACAACACAACAAATAGTAATAGCACCATATAAAACCTGCTCTAAATCATTTCTAGCTACCTGAAATATAATCAGATCTGTTTTGAAAATGTGGGAAACTTCAGTCATGGGTGATAATGACTCAAGCTTTCTAGGAAAAGAATGCCACTGCAGAAATAATTTCTTTACTCTAATTACACAAGTCTCCGCTTTGAGAAAAGGAGAGAAAGTGGAGTTTGCATTTTGCAGTTTTCAATTTTTTTTTTTTTTGCCACACCAATCTCTGGCAGTAACTGAAACCAGAGGACATTCCTCTTAATATTTTAAAAGCCTAATTTACATGAAAAATTATGTTACTGGGTGTTCAAAAATTGTTCACCAAGTTCAAAGAGTGAGATAAGTAAGGGAAAAGGCTCTATTTTCACATAGGCCCAAACTCAGGACTGTTTCCAGGAAGTTAGGATCATAGGGAATCTTGTGTTCTAATGCCTTTGGGACTATTTTATTTCATTTTTATTGAGATATAACTGACACACAGCTCTGTATGAGTTTAAGATACACAGCATAATGACTTGATTTACCTAAATTGTATAATGATCACCACAATAAGTTTAGTTAACATCCATCTCCTCATACAGGTATTAAAAAAATTCTCCCCATGAGATCTTTTAAGTTCTACTTTCTTACTTAGCAACTTTCAAATATACCATACAGCAGTGTTAAATATAGTCATCTCATTGTACATTACATCCCCAGGACTTACTTATCTTATAACTGAAAGTGTGTACCTTTTGACCACCTTTATCCAATTCCCCTCTGCCCCCCCCATCTGCAATATATCAAATAAGATTACTAAAGTTATCAGAAGTGAGACTTCATCTTCCCATTAGGGAAAACTGAGTCAAAGGAGACTTTGTTTTTAAGTACTGGATTCTGCTTTCCTATTCCTATTTCTCTTTACAGCTTGGGGGATCAAAGAAAAAAATTTACAACATTTTAATATGATAACATTTGAATGAGTAAAGGCGGATTTTCAAGATCCTGAAATCAGCCAAAGTCAAACATTTGTAAAATCAAATAAAACACACTAAGTTTGGAAAAGGAACATCAACACTTCCTGTTAAATCCCAGACATAATAGTGGTGTGTCATAAAGGTGGATACTATCCTCTCCTGGCTCAACCTCTAAATGCTAGTGAATAAAGACAGACCCTGGAGGAAGCATATGTAAACTCCTATCTCTGAATGACTGTAAGAGTTTAGGCTAGCTTGGTGACCTTGGCATTTTCTATGCCCTGGTGTTCCCATCCATAATTTAGAGCTAATAGTACCAATACATTCTGTGGTTTGGGGAGGATTACTTCAGATACTGACTGAGAGGCATTCCCTATCTAGCAAGCATGTAACATTAGCCATTATTTTTATTAGTATTTGAATGTAGCAGGAAAGTCCCATAAGTACTCACAAAGTGAGGACTTTCCCGTGGACCAAATTCCTCTGCCTGCCAGTACCCTATAAGGTAGCTAACCTAGTGGCGCCCAATGCAGGGCTGAGAATTCCTGATCCGAGGTCTTTACCTGTCTCCAGCCAAATCAGAAAAATAAGAACAATTTAGAGGTTCTTTTTTGTTTGTTTTTGTTTTTCTTTAAGCTAAAGGGATTTGCTTTAAAGACCTGGTCTTTAAAATTATAGACCTTGCGCTTTTCTTGATGTTAAAATCTTTCATGAAACTCTGATGAAGATAAGTCGTTGCATTTTTCTTCTAAAAATGTTAGGCAAACCCGAAATTCCTGAAAAATCCCCAAATCCAGAATTGACCTCAAACCCCTTCTCCCTTTCAATGCCTCGCAGACCGGACAGACCCACCCAGTGAAGGGGATAAAGACAGACGCCCCGAGAGACCTCCGCGCGCCAGGCTGACGGAACCGGATGCGGAGCGGAGGCTGCAGCAGAGGACGATGGCAGCAGAGGGAGGCGGGGCCCAGGCAGAACCCGCCCCTTAGAACGCGATCCTACCCGCCAACTGGCCGCGGCTCTTGGAGCTCCAGCCAATCCTTAAAGCCTTTGGAAGCTCTACGGCCAAGCAGTACTAAGCTGAGCCAATGGGCGGTCGCGTTACAGGCTGCTGGACACCGAAGTCGCAAGTCTTCCCAGTGTCTGTGGCTGGCAAAAGTGGAAGCCAGGTAGTGGCTGGCCGTGGTACCTCTGCGCCCGGGTCTACATCCGACTGAAATCCGCCTGCAGCCGACCCGGGCCTGGAGGGTGGGGCAGGCGGACGGCGGCAGAGATGGGTCCGCCCAGAGCCTGGGCGTTGGTGGCGGCCGAGGGTAGCGTGCCAGAAGCCTTTTGTGAAGTCAACCGGTTCTCACTGCCTCTCAGGGTGCGGTCCCCAGATCGCCTGCATCACCATGGGGCGGGGCGGGGGGGGGGGGGGAGCTCGTTTCAAATATGGACTTCGCAGCTCACCCCAGACCCACTATATCGGAAATCCAGCGGTGAGCTTTAGGTGATTGTTATGCGCTCTTACGTTTAAGAATAAGTACAGAAAAGTGTAATGGGGCCGGTCGACAGCTCCCTGATTTTGACACTAAGAGCAGTGTGCTGGCTGTGTTCTCCAGATCTTTCTGCCATCATCTTAAGAACTCACAACCTCAGGATCTTGGTGAAATCATCTGTAGAATGAAATGATGTTCTCCGACCTACCTTCTTCTCATGGAGGTGAGGTGATGATAAAAATTAGAAGCCCAGTGGGCTTTGGAAGCGTATGGAAGATGGCATGAGTATTTCTGAATTACTCATCCAGACGTACACTGAATTGATGGATGTGGTCTTCACAGTATTTAATTACATCTATGGGATGCCTGATGGGTACCCAAAGAGTAGGTAGGAGTTGGAGGAATTGGTTGGAAAAATTTGAAGGGGATTGAGATTGGAGACTGGGAGACCAAATAGAAGGACACCTAGTCACCTGACTTTGAAGCGATGTGAGTCTGATCTTCAGTGGTGACAAGGGGAATAAGAAAGGTAGTGAAGTTGATGGAAAGGAAACAATGAGGAATTGAAAACTTGAGAGGGCAGCTCTTGAAACAACAGGGTATCCATGTGGAAATGTCCTATGGGCAGTAAGAAATCTAGGTTGAAGTTCAGTTCTCACCAGAGATGATGACTTAGAGGTTTTCAGCATAGACTATGATAAAACCCTTAGAATCACGTGAGCATCCTGAGACAGGAAATGTGCTTACATTTCTGCAGGAGGGCCTTAAGGAAACCCCACAGTTAAGCCATGATGTCAAATCAGAGAAGGTGATCCAGTGAAATGTGAGAGCACTTGGTAAAATTAAAGCTTATTTTTACTCATATTAGTGAAGGAAAGTATCAGCCATTTCTTCATTGCTGACTCCTGCCCCTATCAGAGCCCATAGTCACAGGCCTCAGGGCTGTTCTGCAAGTAGAGATTGAAGAAACCTCGAAGGGCCTTGGGATCAGTGAGGAGGGCTGATACTGCAGGATCTTGCCCCATGGCTGCCATCCAGAGCTTAAGTTTTGGAGTGTGGTCTACACAACTGTGGGAAGGGAAAAGGATGAAGACATAAGCTAGGTTAACTAGGAAGGCATTACAAAGGCTCCTATATCATCACTCTGCAGTTTTGTTTTCCTCTAATCTTTTAAAATAATTTCTTTAAAATGCACAAAATCAGAATATTTGATTTGGAAGATACTGTAGAGGTCTTTGTTTTATGGAAAAGGAATCTTAGAGTGAAGTGACTTGCTCAGTTAGCATGAGAATTATTTGTCCAGGCAGACTAATAACTTTTTAAAAGGAGAACATGAAAGACAACCATGAATGTTATATATTTATTCTACAGCCGGACTGAATACCTCTAAGCTCTAAGAATTGAGAGTAAGCCGAGGTGGCTGCCAAACTTCAAAACATGGAGTTTGGAAAATAGTGTGGGAATTCTGCTGGTAAATGAGAGGTGGCATTGATCATAACAATCCTGCATGACATACTTATAAAAATGTACATCCTTATGGATTTTTAGCCAGAAGGGAAGGAGTAAGTTACTTTTAAACATTTTACTACATGTCATAGAATTCTCTGTCCACCCCTCCCCCACACACTCCAGGAATGGAGAAGGGTGGTGAGTATATGCCCTGGATAGTCCAAGATTCTCCTGTCTGCCTGCTCCCATTCATACCAGTTATATAAAATATTCTAATTTTTGTTCAGAAAAAGGTCAATATATACTCTTCCAATTATCATTATCCTAAATTATGCACAGAATATTCAAATGTCTTACTCATTTAACTCCAGAATTTCCAGCCGTTCAAACCAGGGCCAGATGAGGTAATCAATCATAGAAGGAGAACTGCCACCAAAGAAGGTTGTCTTCTTATTGGTAAGAACCTGGACATTAAACAGCATAAGAGTACTTGTCATTTGTGCATTTAGTAAGACTCATCATCAGAAATGATGAAGGCAAGTTAAGTAGAGCAAGTGAGAACAGCAGCTTTTACCCTGACATATTCAAGCTGGCTTTTTGTTTGAACTTTAGAATCTCCTGGTTTGGGATGAAGCCAACAACCAACAAAATAAACTGGAAAGTAGAGAAAAATAAAGCAAGCAACAGAATACAAGATCTTTGTAATATATATACCCAGCAAAGGACTGGTATTCAGACTAGAGAGAGAACTCCCGGGAATCAATAAGAAAAAAGGCAAATAACTCAATAGAAAATGGGGCCAGACTTGACCTTCACGAAAAAGGATATTCTAATGGCCAAAAACCATGTGAAAAGGTATTCAACCTCACTGGTCATCAGGGAAATGCAAATTAGAGCCAAAATGTAATACCGCTACACATCCTTCATAATAGTTAAAATGAGCAAGACAAAATTAACAAGGGTGTGGAACCACTGCTGGTAGGACTATAAGCTGGTGCAACCATGTTTTAACTGTATGTACTGAAGCTGAGTGCATGCATTCTCTAACCCAGTAATTCTACTCTTTGGAAATATGAACATATGTTCACCAAAAGATAGGTGGAAGAACGTTTATTGTAAGAGCCCCAAAGTGGAAATGTTTACTGTCCAACAGGAGTAAAATAAATTGTGCTATAGTCATATGTTGGAACACAAAGGATAGGAATGAACTACATACAATATAGATGAATCTCACAAAGCTACTATTGTATGAAAGAAGCCAGACCCAAAAGAGTGCATATTATATAATTCCATATGTATAAAGTATAAAAACAGCCCAAACTAATGTCTCTTGATATGGGTGCTGGTTCCATGACTATGTTCACTTGGTAAAAATTCATCAAGCTGTACTCATGCTTTGGATACTTCTCTGTATATAACACTTCAATAAAAAAATGACTCAAAATACACTGGAAATAACTGGGTTAACTGTTAAACAGATGTCAAATAAAATTATCTGAAAACCAAACACAAATAGTATGTTTCTATAATTCAAGAATGTGCATTGGTGTTAATGGTTTTGACAAAGTAGAGGACCTAATTAACACCAAACCAACTTACCTTTTATAAAACTTCCATAGTTTTCCTCAGGGCCCATATAACATTCTGCATTGTGGATTAATGGCTTATATCTACTGGAGTATCTGTCTTTTGTCTACCACCAAGCTAATCATCTGAAGAGTATAGACCATATCTTACTTTCTACCTTCCACACTACCCAGTAGAGTGCCTTGCAATTATTAGGCACTCAGAACTGTACAACAAATCAATGTTAACTGGGCCTGCCCTTCAACTGTAGTGTCTGGTTATTATATTGTGTATAAATTAAGTATGGCAGTTTCAGTCAGAAGAAAATAACCCACTCAGCAGCCTAAAACATGGAAATGGCACTACTCACTTTAAGGCATGAGTTCTAAATCTGGAGTCTATGAAGGTAGATGGGGAAAAAGTACATACTGCCCCTCTCCCCCCAGTAACGCCCAATTTAGCAGGTATTCCCATTATGAAATGAACCACAGTAGAGTTAATCTTATATATTTTAGTTTAAGCATTTAAAAATGCTGAGAAGGGGTTCGTAGGCTCTACTAGGTTGCCAAACACAAAAGAAGTCTTAATCTTCAAAGAAACAATATCCCATATGTATTCTCTGACCATAATGTAATTAAATTAGAAAATAGCAAAAAGTTTAGGAAACTTACAAGTACACTGATAAATAATAGCTAGGCAATGAGAAAATCAAATGGAAACAGGAAAAAAAGCCAATTTAGAACAGAACAATGAAAGTCCTGCCTATTAAAACTTAATTGGATGCAACTAAGATGTTATTTAGAAGTAATGTATTGGTCATTAATGCATTATACAATCAAGAAAGACTGAAGGTATGTGCATTAGCTACTGAACTCCTGAGCTAGTTAGTAAAAGAGCAGAAACAGCCAAACCCTATCAAATGATTTCAGAGATTAGAAACACAGGCAAAGTAACCCAACACATTTTATCAGGTTAGAATATCCTTAATGTAAAAAACAAAGACACTATGAAAACAAAATAATAATCCAACCTCATTAATAGTATGCAAATTCTTTAAATATTAACTAGTTCTAGAGTATATATGAAAATCCACTGGAAACAAGTAGGTTTTATCTCAGTAACACTAGGATGGTTCAACACCAGAAAATTTGTCAGTAACACCATATTCATCAGATTAAAGGGAAAAAATTCCATGAACATCTCAATAGATGTAATAGATACAGACAAAACATTCAACAAAATTAAACACATTCATGATTTTTGTTAAAATTAGCAAACTGGTAACAATTTTCTTAATGAAAATAAGTTCCAAAAAAATCTACAACAAACTTAATACTGATAAAATATTAGGATGCATTCCCATACAAGGGAGGAACTATGTCTTCCCTCAGTAAAAACCCAAGGCTGAGAGTGAATGGAATGTCTCAAGACCAAGAGAAAGACTTGATCTAAAGGCCCAAATGACAGCTGTGCCCCAAAGGAGGTAAAAACTCATCCAGGCTTCTCTAAGTGTCTTTATGATTCATGACAAACTCTGGTGGGAAATGTTTATTATGTACTATTAAAAAAAAAAAAAAGAACACAGCATGGTATCTATGCCCTGATTACAGTTATGTTAACTTTTTCCTTCCTTCCTTCCTTCCTTCCTTCCTTCCTTCCTTCCTTCCTTCCTTCTTTCTTTTTGTTTTGTTTTGATACATGGACAAGGACTAGACACAGGCATGGAAAAATGAAAACAGGTGACAAATTGTGGAAATGTTAGTGCATTTTTTTTCCTTGTTATTTTATTGTCAGTGTGACAATGTTTTAAAAGCAAGCCATAACAAAATATTTTTAGGTGTTTCAGTTTGTATCTTAAACACAACATCTTACAGCAATCTGTCATAATCTAAAATTCCTTATTTGGTGTTATTACTAATTGCCACAAAGTGATTTGGGAAAGGGGAGTATGAAGAATAGTGGAAGGAAGAAGGGGGTGGATACAGTGTATCATTTATTCTGACAAAAGCTTGGAGAAGAGATTACCTCCTCTAGCTTGCTGAGTTCTTTCCGCAATTCCTCTTTTAGGCCAGAGCAGTCTTCCTCATTCTGTCTTCTCAGAAAGCTTGTTACCAAAGATGGAACCTAGACAGAGAATAATTTCTCAGTTACCAGTGTGAGGCAAACTGTACCAGCCCCCTCACAGAAAAGCATGACAGAACGCTCAGAGTCCCAGATCAGGGTGTTCGAGAAACCTGAAAGTGCACCAATTCCTGTATTCACAGAGGTTGGGTACTGATCTTAGAAACAGTTTTGGGGTGTAAAGAGATATTTGGTCAGGATTTTATAAGCTGTGAATAATAGAACCCACTTTGGTGAGTTTGAGCCAAATATGTCTTAAAAAGACAGTGAGTGACTCATAGAATTATTGAGAGGCTGACAAAATAGGCTGGGGACTAGGCTGGAACGTTCGGAAATCATGCTCAGAACCGGCATGATGGTGTCCGTGAGCTGAGCACTGGGTGCTGCCGTTTGCGCTCCTGCCAGAAGTTAGACCCCGAGGTGACTAACGCCTTGAGCCCTGAAGCCCTCCTGGGTCTGGAATTTGATCCTGCAACCGCCACTGCTCCCCAAAGCCTGGAGCTCTGAAACTGGCCACTCTCACCAGCAGGGCCTGTGCCCCACACACCAAGCCTGTCTCCCCACACTGCTCATTTCTGAGTCCAGCTCTATGGTGGGCGCTTCTGAC